CCTGGAACTTACTTCGGATGAAATAGGTCCAAATATTATAGTAGAAGAAATATTACACGCATTAAAAATAACAAAGAGTGGAAAAAGCCCAGAACCTGAAAAACTTTATATTGAACTACTAAAAATTATAGATGAGGAACATATTAATGTTTTAGTGGTACTTTTGAACCAAATTTATAGCTCAGGCGTATTACCCAACGACTGGTTAAAGTCGATTTTTTATTTGTCTTCCAAAAAGAAAAGTGCAAGATGCGTCAATTACTGCACCATTCGCTGTGCTAAAGTTACCACTAAGTATCGACTCTCGATAACTAGAAACTTGATAACTCAAAATTTTCAGTAACTCGTACTTTTCCTCTGGTCCGTTTCGATCCTATTCTATTGTGAAAAATTTTACCTATATAACTCAAACATATACCACGATAACTCGAATGGAAATTCGAAACTGATATTTTTGTAAATCGAAGTTGCGGAATTTTAACCATCTCGGTCGAAGGTCATGTTTGTTTAGTTTCTTAACGATACCTTAGTCACCTTCAATTTCATAGACCTAATTCAGTTCCATGATACTATAACGTATCATGATTTAGTTCTCTATTTAATCTTAATGATAATAAGTCGAGTTTACAGATAAGAGAAAAAATTGGATTAATAAACACTGCGGAAAAAGAGAATAAAACAAAATCTCAACTTTCGAAAAAGTTCGACATTGCACGGAACGCGCTTTTCACCATACACAAGTAAAGATACAATTATTGTGCGTATTCGGCCCAAGGCAATAAATTTCGGTCGAAATCTGCTGGGTTCCCGGATCGCGGAAAATGCCTATGGAAATACTTTCCGGAATGTCGAAGGAGAAACATCCCAATCAGTGGAAGGCCCTAACTTCGTCAGTCAGCTAGGTCAAAAAGACTTTAGGGCTAGCAGTGGGTGTCTTAAAGTGGGTGGAAATCTTAAAAAACGATTTGTCATTAGTGTCATAAGTTTGTGGGGAGAGGGCGAGCGTAGATGATGCAGATTACGAGGACTGAAAAAAACACCAGAAATTTACAACGCCTATGAAACAGGGTTGTTTTATAGATGTATGCCAAACAAAACATTGAAATTCAAAAACAACCAATGTCATGATGGCAAAGAAAGTAAGATGAGAATAACCGTTTTACTCGCTGTAAGCATGACAGGATCAGACAAACGTGTGCCTTTCGTCATTGGAAAACTCAATAGGCCGAGATGTTTTAAAAATACCAAACCTTTGCCGACCTAGTATAAGGACAATTTAAAAGCTTGGATAACTAGTGAAATTTTTAAGGTATGGCTATTGTCTTGAGATGGAGAACTTGTCTAGAAAAAAAAACACTACTGTTCATCGGCAACTGTACAGCTTATGGACATATTCGTTCAGTTACTTCATTCAAGATTGAATATCTTTCACCTAATACGCTGTGAAAGCTGCAACCACTTGACTTATCGTACTGAGAAGTGGTTAAATTTTTAATTGAACAAATCGAAGTAGGTGATATTTTGCCACAGATCGACATGCTTCAGGCAATATTAGGATAATATGTTTACGACAACTGTGAGCAATTCTTTTGCTTCTTGTGAGTTCAGAAACAATTCAGTTACAGACAAAGAAGAGAACAAATTTTTCAATTCGAAGAGTTTGTTGCTGTCGATTTCGACAGCAAGTAGTAGTGCTCGAGGAAGATTTAGGAAATGAAGAAAACCTTGAAGACAACAGTCACCTTCGTATTATGCCTACTATATAACAAGCCAGGAGTGTTCTAGAGATTTTAAGATTGTTTTCAGAAGGATTTGAGCGAAGTAAGCCAAAAATCTTTGGTCATTTGAATGCTATTGAAAATACAATTGACACATGTAAGCAAAAAAGTGATATTATAGTTTTCAGTTATTTTAAAAAATAAATTAATAAACATGTTTTAATGTTAAAATGATGATTTAAAAAGTAATTTTTAAATAAATAGATGTAACAATTTTTAAAATTTATTTATTATTACCTACTCTTGATAACTCGAATAAAAATCTTGATAACTAGAATTCTTGTTAACTGGTTCTGACGAGTTCAAGTTATCTAGAGTCGACTATATACCATAAACTGGACATAGACATTATTGATACAGTATTTAAGCGATTCAGTGGAAATTGAAATTAGATATGGAGTGAGACAAGGATGTGTATTATTGCCATTTTCTTGAGTAAAAATTTTAAATTAAACAGTAAAAAAGTATGAGTCATTTTAAATTTGCATTTGCAGATAGATGTGCATTTTAAAAATTGGCTAGGACCCATTACTACCTAAATGTCACCGCTTTTATCGATTTAATTACCGTCTATGTATCTAATCATACAGTGTTTTTAACCTAAATACTAAAGCTATTCGTTAGTTACCGTTTATCGTTCATCAACTAAAAACGCAATATAAAATTTGGTTTATTTTACAACACTAAACACATTAAACAAAAACAAAATCTAAACCATTTCTCTTCGTAAAAAAATATTAAATATTAGATTCACTTAATGGATAAAAAATACTAATAATATATTTTATATATTTGGTTTAAATATGCTAAACTAATACCATCAACCCTTATAAATTCTAGCCCAAAACGAACACAGTTAATTTGTTCATATTGTTTCTTAAAACTTACGCATAACAGTATGTAATAGAAAAGTATATAAAATTTTTTGCTTTAAAAGTGTTACGTATTTATTTATTGCACTATATGATATATGGAATAAATCTTCCATTTTTAACTTGTTCAAAAACAATTCTGTCCAAGATTCATTAGCTAAGACATTAGACAAGAATACCTAAAATGTATTACTGTATAGGTATATATAGATCTATTGTTGCCTCATATGGGCTTTAAGTATTAACCATATCATGTCAATAAGATATCTCTTGAATCTTGGACCAAATTGTTACTTTTTGAGAATAATTTAATTACTCCCATATGTATTATATAGTTGTCATCTTAAAGAACTCGGATGCAGACTAACATGGTACTATACACAATAATTAAGAAAACCAAAAAAGACCGATATATACTACATATGCAAATACGTCTTAACAACTGGTTTATTGATAAGGACTCCATTCTTGTTATTACAGAAATACATCAGTACTATAATTAGCCTGAAGGAATTAATAAGTTTTTATAGAGTTTTGACAATGGAAGGCGAAAATAGTCAAAGGAAACGTCGTCGGCAAAATTGTTTGGAGGGAGAAAAAACTGTTATATGCAACGTGTATATTGGACTCCGTGTAAGAAATAAAAATATGTTGATTAATGCCGTTATAAATATATGTAGTAATTTAATTAAAAAGTCTACAAGAAGTGTTCACAGAATTCTCAAACAAATCAAACAACCAACGTGAAGTAAATTCGGATACGTCTGTTTAAAAAATTAAAATCAGAGGAAAAAAACATATTAAGCTTGAAAAGAATATTAAATTAGGAGAAAATTCCATGCTTTATTTTTCTCAAATAAAATTCTAACCTTAAAGAAAGTCGCAGTCAAAATAGATTCCGACGATTTGATACCCAAGATATCACGACGTGTATTATTGTGAACATTATAGCAAATGAACATTAAATATATGAAGATAAGTAGGAACGATATTTTTATAAAAAAAGAAGAGATTGTTTTGTGGCGGAGACATTATCTGATATAAATCCAAGTCTATCGTCGTGTAGCTAAAAAATCTACTATTTAGACGAAACTTAACTAAATCAAGGCCCTATTGTCTCAAAAGTGTAGCAAGATTTTGAATGTTAAAAACCGTAGACAAGCCTTGTTTGAAGGGTTACCATCAGGTCTGAAAACACCAACGAGCAAAGGACGAAGACTCATTTCAACACACATAGGCAGTGATGCAAGTTTTTTTGATAACCGTTTGAAACTCTTCGGATCCAAGAAAACCAATGACCATCATGAAGAAATGGACGTCCCAAACTTTTCAAAGATTTTATTAAATCTCAAAATAAATCTTGTATGGTTATTCAATAATAATTGTACTACGCTTCCCTCTATATGATTGTGAGCTGAATCCTATCGAACTTATATATAGGCTCAAATAAAAAATCAAGGAGCGAGCGAAAACTGAACTTATAAAATGGATGCAATGAAAGGTCCGCTAGATACGACTATAGAAAAAGGCAGGCCAGAAGAATTGCATTACGCATACTCGAAAAGAAAAAAGCAGAATGTGGGATCTAGACACTAAAGTGGATGTTTCCATTGAACCTTTAATTTTCAATATGTCTAATATTGATTGCAATAGTTCTTAATCATCCGAGTATTCTTCAGGCGATAGTTAATATTTTGACATTTTGTGGATGTCGAATAACGTAAACTATGCCATTGTGTGTGCAGTGAACGTGTAGCTTAAGTACATATATCTGTGAATATATCTCTATATTAAGCTTCGATTATCTACTGATCAGCGTAGTCATGTTTTATGGATTCTTACAAGTCTGTTACTGTATGAATATTTGACTGTCTGTGAATTATTAATATAGAAAGTGATAAAACAATATATAATTAGAACCTGACAAAAATGTTTAATTATTATTTCTAAAAATTTAATGCCTACCATTTTGATGTATGTATATGACTAATATCACTTGACTGTGATATTTTCACATACCATTTAAAAGTGAAAATAATTAAGTATGAAGTACCACAATATATTTTCTTACATAAGATTCTTTAGTTTCCACATATACACCTTGTTGAAAAATGCAATACGATATGGGCATTAAGAGTTAACTATGAGTAATCACTGTAAAGTAAAAGATCTGGCAACTGTTTAAAGAAAAATTTTTAAATTTTCCTTGATTTAAAAGAAAATTCTATTAAAATAAACTTGTTTTAAAGCAAAAAATCTATTTCATTTAATACGTAATAAAATATATATTTAGTAATAATAATTTATATAAAATCGTAATATACTTTGAAGCATAAATAACAAAAACTTATCAATTTTGAACGTTTTGGTTTATATCAGACTTTTCTTCTTGAACAAAAGCGGCTGCAGCAGAACCAATCGGATGGTGCTTTTTAATATGCACTCTTAAATTCCCTTTTTGTTTGGCTTTGTACGGACAAAAAGGGCACTGAAATTTAGGCTCTTGATCGCCGCATTCATCTTGTTCGTGCCTCCTCATCGTTGACTTCCATTTGTACCGTTTTCCGCAATGTCGGCAAGCAAACTGTGAATCTGGACTGTAACCTGGACGGACTGTATTATCTGCGAACTTTTTTGTAGAGTTTCTGTGCTCTTTGTGTTTTTTGGGAGATTTTCCTGACGGGTCTAGAAATTTTTCCAGTGTTGGTGGTACCAGGATTTGGTCAAATTCCAAGAAATCTACAAATATGATGAATGTTACTACGTATAAAGCAAAAAAAGATAATTATTTTATGTATAGAAAATTAGATATGAATATCTTAAAAGTAAAAATCATTAGAAACATACAAGAAGTAGCTTAATATTACATGTCTTTTTTTTCGCGTAAAACGTAAAATTTCAAAACCCCTTACACCTTTTTATTAGAATAAAGAAATTATTGCTTTAGTTAATAAAGTTACTTAAACTTGATTAATTTGATAGGAATAAAGCAAAAATTATTTACAAAAATTGTACATTAACAAAAAACTAATCCTAATTAATTCTAATTTTCATTAAGTAAAATATTACATACCAACTGGGCGCGATTTTTTCACGTAGATGATAAATCCGTTATTAAAGCTGGTCTGTCAATCACAGTTTAATCTATTGTAAGTTTAATTTTATATAAAAATAGAAATAAAAATGATTATGCTTCAGACAGGATTCAAACCAGTTCTGAGAAAGACCAATTGATATCAAGTCCATATCCTTTATCACCGGGATAGTATTAATAAGTTTTATTTTTAAGTTGTGTGCGTTGATCTTGTCATATGTGTCATTCTAATTTCTAGGGCACCGTTGCCAGTTCAACGAAAATGTAGCTAAAATCAGGACTGTGTGACAGACCGCCAGTTTTGAGTATACTAAAAACTAAAACATTATCGAGAATTCTTGATCACTCAGTCACATTAAATTTGTTTACACATGCATTCTAAAAAATTCTCATATTAATTTTGTAATTTTCCATCATCGCAATTAAGTACCCATACATCGATTTGTGTTTTATAACAATTTATGACAATATTTCAATTCAAAAATAATGACATATAATCAATCTAGACAAACTTCAAATCGTTATAATAAAACATTACAGTGAGATATTGGATTGTAACTGTTACGATTTGAAAAGCGTTTTTTCGCCCCGAATATTTTATAATTTATAATACGTAGGATAAAGGATAATGTTAATTTTTCACATTTTTTATCGTTCTTGTAATAAATAAATTAATCTTGGCAGTTTGCCTGTTACAAAACTTATTGACACAGAATACACTTCAAGTTCGGCAGGTAATTAAAGTATAAAATTACAGTAGATGCATTCCAATGTTCCCTGTGCCAATATCCTAGGTTTAAAGATCCTTCAAACATTTTGGATAATCAATCCTATCACTGCTTATTTAATTTCTTAATGATATAAATAATACCTATCTAAAAATTTTATACATTTTTGGACGTTATTTTTTTATTTAGATTGAGTGCAATTCCGTTATCTGTAATGGTAACAACGAATTGATTTCTGAACACAGGTTTACATTGGGAAAAAGTGTCCAGTTTTATATGACGGGAAGTGTACATCTTGGCATAAGGTGGTTTGTAATACATAATATCTAGTTATATTAGTTTACAAGTACCTTAATGAGTTTTTTCTAGTTTTTACGTAATCGAAATATAAAAAAATATAAACTTTGGTTTCAGAATTTTCTTCACAACAACGTTTAATCTGAATTTAAATCAGTCTTCAGTATTCCAGAAGAGCTGAATAAAACCAAAAGAAAAAAAAACAAAAAAAAGATAATGAAATTTTTGCTTTGTAGGCAACTTTCAAAATATATTTAGTATGTTGAGCCTATCGCCACAGAATAATAAACAATCAGAATGCCCACTCTCAGATGCCGCCTTTTAGTTTTTCAGTACGCGCGCCATGTTTTAGAAGGAAACACAGAACATAGACTAGGATTGAGAATTACATTTGGTGTAAAGGGTCTTTATCGACATATGATTTTTGAGATTATGTGATTGTATATATTTATTTTTAATTATATTATATTTATATTTATGTTATTATATTTATGATTGCCGTAAGTTAATTAAACTGGTTTAATTTTTCTATACACACCACATAAATTGTCATTAAACAACACTGGTTCCCCTTAAAACATGGCAGAACGTCTGCGCGAACGAGATGCGCGTACTTAATTTTCCATGGAGAGTGGTCATTCTGATTATTTATTATTCTGAGCTATTGCAATATCATTATTAATTTATTCTATTTCTGCAGATTTTAATCTATTTTAGTTTTGACCGTTAGAGAACACAACTTCTACAAAAACGGTAAGAAAATGTAACTCTAGTAATATCGTGGTAAATAAATATACCAGTAACTATTTCACCACGTTTCTTACTAACAAAACTTCTTCCTGCCCGTGATTTCTCAGCGACAAAATTAGGACAGATCTGTCACGAAGGTGCCTGGTAATTCTATTGTTGTTAGTTTGACAAACGTCATTGAATCGTAATCAATTTTGGACAGATATAATGAATCCAGAGGAAAAAATCAAGATTTGGATGCCAGTCAGGTAAAGAAATCAAGAAATTGGTTTCGAAAAATGTCCCATTGAACACGCAAAGGTCCAGAAGTAAGAAATTTTACGCTTGAAAGATGTACTACCATAACGGAACAAAACTTCTCGAGGATTGTGCCTATAACATGAAAAAAGGCAATGGCGAAGACTATAAAGAGTCGTCTGTAAAATCAATGTAGAATACTACGGCAAAAATGGTACAAGAAAAATATTTTACTGAGTACGGCATAAAAATCAACCATTTCACAGATACATCTTTCAAATGTGCAAGATTGGCCTGAGATACCAATCGGAGGAAGCTTTAAAGTGTTCAAGAAAAAACGAAACTTAGTTCCAAAGCATTATAAACAGAAAAGCTAATAAAAATCATCCAAAGCTATGAGGAGGAAACCCCGATGGAGCGCAAAAAATTCCCAGTGAGATTATTTTTGAAATTAATGGAAAAAAGTGGACCAAAGATTTTATTAGACAGACTCTTTCTTACGGTTCACCCTAACTAAAAGGATTGGTTAGATAAATTGGTTCAAAAACTGTCCACTTGGAATCAACACCGTATCTAAGTGGACCAAAATGTCAGCTGGAAAAAATTGGAGTAGACAAAAGAAAAACATAAAATAAACTATTCTCATCGATCTTCAGCTGTATCAGCCTTGTTCAAGCAAGGTGTTTCTGAACAGGAGTTAATTAAATTAACGGGTCCCAGTTACGATTTGATTTCACGCATAGTGCCTCTACAATTCGCTTATAGGTATTTCGTCCTAAATATTTTCCGCCAAAGAAAGTAATAATAAAATAACTTCATAAATACGTACACGGCGCCAGCTGAGAATAAAACAAAAACTATAAATCCGAAGATTTTTAGGTGTTCGAAATCAAAATTCAGATTTTTGCTAAATCTGTGCTTTGTAAAATTTTCAAAGCCAACAGACGATAAATGGAAGAAACCAGTTCACGAAGCGTTCGTGTCTAGGTGAATCGATGTGTCGTGGAATGCAATTTTAGATTTCCAATGTCGGTCCATAAATCGTCTGCTTGCTTTGAAAATTTTACAAGGCACAGATTTGGGAAAAAATCTTAATTTTAGTTTTGAATATCTAGAAATCTTCGGATTTCTACATTTTGTTTTAATACCTACCACACGTTAATATGGAATAACAAGTTTTATTTGCAACCGGCCGTAATGGAGAAGATGAACAAAAACAAAGAAGGTATGATGTTAAAACTTTTGTATCTAAAATCTATGTAAAACGGACTACGCCGTGCGATTTTATCCGTTGTTCGTTTTTGACGTTATTTATCTGTATTGTTATATGCTTAAGTATATCCTATGCTTCCTTATACTGAAGAATAGATTCTACATTTTCACTCTTTTGTTCATTCTCTCAACTTAGTGCTGTTTTGAAGTGATGCAATCTTTGTTTTTCCCTGTCATTATATATAGCATATCATTCCCTTCTATCTATAAGAAATAACCTTGAGCTTCTACACCAATGCAGTTGAACTCTGGTTAGTCCTTTTACAACATTGTGAAATTTTATAAATTTAGTTTTTATTTCTTTATATTCTAAACGTCGTACCAAACCAGAGTTTAAACTTTTTAAATATCATTACCATTATTCAAAGTTTATCATCAGTATAGTTATTTAAATTCCAGAATTACCCTGCACCAAACCAGTGATTACCACCTATTCATGTTCAGCCGAGTAAAAGGCTAACTAACTTCTTCTGTAACTGATCAGCAGTTAATTATGAGTCTCCGCCCGGAAGGCGATGAGGCTCTGACGGTTATCCCCCTTGACAATATCTACCGCAGCCTCAGACGAAACGTCAAGGAGAAATAATTATATGTAGACTACTGTCTCTAAGCTAGGATATTGTTACGATAATTATGGCATTTAAAACTGTAAATATATTATGACTAATTCTGTTTTTGTTCTAGTCATTTCGATAGTTGTTTACCAGAAACCTCTAGACCACAATTTTGATGAGTCATCCACGACTCAAGGTTTTTTAAGCAGTTGAAAAACTAGTTTCAGCCATCGACCGCCTTCTAGTACCTTCATCGAAATACCAGTCTATTCGATGGGGTCCCGTTCTAATGAAGAAGGTCATCGATCTTTCTAGATAACGGCAGTTTGTGTATATAAATGAAACATTTTATTTGGAAGAGTAGTTAGTAAGAAGATAAATTCGCGCTCGCGTATTTAAATGTACGGTCGTAATAAATTATTGTAAAATAAATTAGTACAAATAAAGACTTTAATAAATTTGTGTCCTTCATCCAAAATGTCCTCTCAGAACGTTGGTTACCATCATAGCTATCTTAATTTTATCCACTGCCACCCTAAATAGCATGCTTGTATCAATATCATACCAATCTCGCATGTTCTTCAACTATGAAGTTCTTCTTCGTCCTGGACTGCGTTTGCCTGCTATTGTTCCTTGCATGATATTTTGTAGCAACATATATTTGAGACCTCTCATTACATGTCCGAAATACTTCAGCTTTATCTGCTTAATGCTTTTTATGAACTCAGTAATCTTGCTGAGACTTTTTAGTCTCAGAAAGTGTGTGGAGTTTCGAATCTTCTTCCCCCAGGAAAATTTTAAAATTTTTCTATAGCACCACATTTCGAAAGCCTCAAGGCGATTTAGATCGATTTTATTTACAGTCCAGGACTCGACACCATAAAGTAAGATCGAGAACACGTAGCAGCGAAGTAGGCGGATCGTCAATGTCAATTTTAGGTCTCTGTTACATAACACCTTGGACATCCTTCTAAAAGCAGCTCTAGCCTGCTCTATTCTGGATCTAATTTCGCCGTGACTTTCTGCGTTACAATTTAATTGCTGTCCAAGGTAAACGATTTTATCAACTTGCTTAAGTTTAGCCGTATAGAGGCTAAAGACTCGACTGTGGTGTCAGGCGACACCTATTAGCCTTCGGATGGCATACAGAGCTCTGGCAGGAGTTCCCATCCATTTAAAAACAATTAATGAAACTTAACAAGTAAAGAAAATAAGTGCGAGCATAAGCGGCACGTCTAGGGAAAGGTTTAACTACTTGTTGAAGCAAGACCTTGGCACGAAAGAGGATCGACAGCAGTCGCTAAAACCTATATGCAAACAAAAATCATAGATGTAATGTAACAATGATATTGATAATAATAATATTTTAGGTCGAAGTGTCGAACGATCTAAGAGACAAAATAAACCTTACTTATATGTTTAAAGTGGAACTGAGTTAAAGGGAACTATAGGATACTCTCAACTCATTCATAATCGACTGTCTGACCATATTTAGTTGGAGTCCTCCGAATACATCAACACCTCATTTCTAGACGGTACCACCCGAGCAATTAATTTTCAACTATTAATAATTTCTGAAACCTTGAATCCCTTAATAATAATGTAATAACTTGTTCACATTTTGAGTTAGACATTCTCATTGGCGATCGTTTTCAATTTTTCTGTAACAGTTGCAACTTAAATAATCATTTAAATTAGTCACTTTATTAATCTTTAAATACTTAATCTTCCTCATCTTTGCTATAATTCATGTTAATTCGTTCTATATGACCCAGCAGAAAAAAAAAGGACAGCTCGACAAATATAAAAGAATAAGAACTGTGACAGCCGATTTAACAAATCAAAAGAAGAGGATTTGACAGATGAAAAACAATTGAGAAGTGCGGAAAATAAAAAGAATTGACAATTGACATAGCACCTGGCAATTAATACCTGCCATCTTAAGACACCATCTTATGTGTCAGAGTGAAAGTCGAGGGAGGTGACCCAACCGACCCATACTACCGGGCCAAATATCGCAGTTGGTCGTAAGAGGCGACTAATGAGAAGAAACGAAAGGGGGAGAGCCGTTATTTGAGGTGTTGGGTTTGTAAAAATGCACGAAGGCGCTTCGACGTTACGGTCACCGGTCTACACTTCTAGTATCGAGACAAGGCTCTTGTGGAACCACTATACTTTCACTCCACCAAACCAAAAAGGTTCTTTCACGTTCTTTCTCCATTAAGGGCGTAAGATTGCGGCATGTATCCACTATTGGAGATTTAAGAGTGGGAGAGGAGAACTCCTCGGCGGCTACCTGTCTACGTGCGAGGTTGAATCTTCTATCTGGGCTCACCTTTCCACCCGGGGGATAACGGACGGCTGTTTGCAACGACGCAAAGCAACACAGCTACTACGAGAAGGGTGGAACTCCGCGATGTTTGGTGCAACGCGCCGCCCCTAAATGGTATCGTACTCCTAGGGGTTAGGGCTAGCTAAAAGTCAATTGCCAAAAGGAAAGGTAAACCTGGGTCCCGCTGATATTTATTACATCGGAGCTCCACGAATTGTAGCGAATACCACGTATGGGCCGGTTGAGCCAGGGGAAAATTTTCTCCCAGGGAAAATCTCAATAGCTTTTTAAGTTAGCCGCCTTCCGCATGCGCAGTAGTGACTATAATATTTTATTCGTGCTAAAAATTGCAACCCTTTTATTGTATTTTTGTGTACTAAAAATGTCAAAAATTGTCAAATGTCTTTTGTCACCTCTTAAACAGTCCAGTCGTCTTCGTCTGAGATATTTTCTATCATTTTTGTTTGTTTAAGGGGCTTAGGCATGCGGTTCCAACCGGTTAACATACAAGAATCAGCAACAGCATTAGTTGGTAATGTTATACTTAATCTATCATAACTTAATATTCTTAGCTACTTCTTAAGGTGCTGTCTTCTTTCGAAGGTTGGCAATCATCATGACCATTTTATTCTGTTTACAGGTGCTCAAAAAAGCTAGTTAAACGAGCAATTTAACCACTCCCTGAGATTGCGCAGCCATGAAGTTTGTCGTCTTTCAACGTTACGCTTTTTAAAATTGGTACTCTCATCATGTGGCAAAGATATTATTATTTTTCCTTTTTATTATTTGATTATTCAATTCTGTTTCCTAGCTACGGAAGCTTAGATAGAATCTATGAAACACACTTAAAAATTGAATGGTAATGTTAGTATTTAGGTAGATATTTATAATAAAGTGTAAAACTTTCGGTCTAGTGGAAAAAAGTGGTTTCTTATAAAAATTGATTTTAGCGTATTAGATCGAAAGAAAAATATTATTGGACTCGTATTTTTAACCATCTTTTATCTGTTCTTTTATCGATTTTGAGCTGTATTATAATTATATTATGGAATATACAAAAAACATAAAAAGTAATATAAAACGACGTTTATTAGTTATACAAGTAGTTATAAAAATATTATGTAATATTAAAACTTAATAAAAACTGTCATTTAACAGGAGGTAGTTAGGTCAAAATTTTGTGTAAATGTTAAATTACTAATATCAAAAACATAATGTATTATAAATACTTCTGGTTACAATAGTCAACCTTTTTAGACATATTATATCATAGTGTACCATACACCTGAGTTATATGCGATTTAATAATATATTTAATACGGAAAAATATGATAAATGTATTAATATAGCTGAGGAGCTGTAAATATGTATGTAGTTTCTTCAGTCGTTTTTCATTTAAAAGCTAAAATATTGATACATATTTAACCACAAATTAATTATATATAATAAAATTAATTAAAAATGTCTTCTGTATACAAGACCAATATCTAATAGTTGGAACAATAATATACTGAGTCGATGAAATAATAAAAAGAATTTAATATCACTCAGACAAGAAGAACTGTTTAAAGTATATTTGCTACAAGAGAAAAGCGTGAGATTTTTACCAAAAAGCCGTAAATGGACAACAAGCAACGAAACACTATAGAAATGATAAATGGAAAAATCTGATAAAATATACTGAATAGGTAGTAGATTATTAGACTTACATAACAAACAGAAAATCAAAGCCGCAAAGCTGTTGGAGTGGTAGAACACACTGATTGAAAGCTTTTTTTATTGAATTGATTTGGATATAGCCTCTATTTTTCCGAATTCTGCTTAATATAAGTTTATTCTTCTGAACAGCTCAAATATCTGGTTGTCTCGCGTTAATCTTATTTCATGGTGCACTGCACATATCTTTCAAACAATTTCTATGGGCGATTCCTTGATTTAGAATTAGTCCATGGAGCGAGATGTGTTACTATTTTGCATTTTTCATAGTTATCCTTAAACCGATCTACTATATTATTTTGTTGCAGTATAACTCTGGCTTTCCCTTATTCATCTGTTATTACAAAAATGTCATACTCATATTGGTGATAATTTAACTTCTATCGATTGATGTTAATACTTATTGAGTCCCATTCTAATCGCTTAAATGATTTAATAATCCATGAATTGAATCCATGAATGTTATAATAGTTTTGGCAACAAAGTATCAACAATTTTTACCATTTCAGACATACAATGAAGCTTTACAGTTGTTGCAATTTTTTATAAACTTAGAATAATATTCCATGCCTATAGTCTATTCTGCTTTCTGCTAGTACTTTTAAGAATTATCTTTAGTAGTAATTTAACTTTGTCTCTTACGTTTCCGTTTGAAATATTTTTTTATTACTCCTTCTTTTCTTGATACCTTCTTTACATCCGCTATTGAACCACTCGATTTTTGTCTTTTTGTTTTTGTTTAAATTGTTTGTTTTGCTGCAATTTTAATATCTTCTAGGTTTGCCACTTTTTATCGATAATTTCTTAGTTCTTTAAAATTGTACCTTGCAATGTCATTTGTGAGGATTAAATATTTCTTAAGAGGTAGATTACCAGCTATTTCTCCATCTTTATAGTGGTATTCGTGGTAGTCGCCTGTTAGCTGGTTTTCCTTCTAGGTAGCTTCTTAGTAGCTTGTGCTCTTCCATTCCTTTTAAAATAATCGTACCATTCCCTTCGTCTATTCTTACGTCTGATTCTGCCCATTACTGTTTTCACTGATATTGCACTAGTATCTTCATTTCCATTGTACATACATGCATACTTTTGGTTTTATTGGTGTTTTCCCGTGATTCTATTCCATAGATCATTAAGGATCATATTAAACCGATATAATGCTTGGTAGAATCTGTAAAGTAATCTTTTTAGCTCGTCCTCATTCTCTGCATTAAAAATAATGCCAGATCCGTGTCTGTATTCTAGCCGTAGCGATTCCACATCTATTATTCCATTCATTAGAATGTTAAACAGGAGCAGGCTAAGTCTCCCTTCCTGTTTGATTTCACCTGGGATTAGTATATTAGCCGTAGTGGTGTCGTTTATTTTAATCTTCGTAGCGTCATTGTTGTTCACTTGTTTTATGATTTTCAAGATGATTGCCAGGATTCTTTTTGTCTCAGGTTCTATCGACATGTTTCACTCTAGATACCTTATTTTTGCAATAACTAGAAAATGAGCCCTATTTGCAACCGCCGACACTATGAAAACTATCGATCCTGTCCTATCTAGAATTATTAAGAGACTTATAAAAGCCCGACTTATGTCCTTTCTCGTTGAAGACAACATTTTATCACAAAGTCAGTTCGGCTATTTATCTAATAAATGTAACTGTGATGCTATGGTTTCTATCCTCATGAAGTCTATTAAGCACTAAACAATAATCTTTATACTGCCACTGTTCTTTGTGACGATGTCAAGATTTTTCATTGTCTAAATCATGACATTTTGATAAAAAAAAACCTAAATTTCTACGGGAATTCGAGGTATTTCTTTGAATTGGTTCCCATCTTAATTGAGAAAAAGGAACCAACTAGTTCGATCAAATGATACTGACTCTAGTCACAAAAGTATTATATGTGGAGTACCACAAGGTTCAGTACGGGATCCTCTACTTTTCCTTATATAATGATCACTATATAAATGACTCTAATGATCACTAATTTAAAAATGGATTGAAATTTTTTTCCTTTTGCTGATGATACCAGTATTACCTGGAAGAACTCTAATTTTGCAACTCTTCATGCAATTATAACTTCTGATCTACTTAAAATAAAAACCTGGTCCGACTCTAATTTACTCTATTTAAACGTGGATAAGACAGTAACATTAACCTATAAAGAAGCTCTTCAACTCTTGCTTCTAAATAACAGCCACATCAGTATAATTGATTCTGTAAAATTTTAAAATGACCTTACTTTTTGGGTTCTAGTACAGCTGCCTAATCTGATGTTATTTTTAAATTACAACTATTCCACTAGAAATTCAAGCTTTGATGTATATTTAACGATCCCATCCACTGAGTAAATAAATGTATATTATATTCGTCAAAAAAATTATACAACTATCTCCCTTTGCAACTTAAATCTACAACTTATTTCCTTAAGTTCCGTAAATTCACAAAAGTCTATCTATCTGAAAGACCTTATTATTTATTGGAAGAGTTTCTTAACGAAGAATTAAGAAAGTACAGTTCGTTTAGGTACAAGCAACAAAGTATTTTTATACATATTTGGGTTTCACATCCAGCAGCTTAAACCTTAGTCGTAAACTACATTTATTATGCAATTTGCAATATAGGGAAAGTTTGCAATGGGTTGTATATTTTATTATGTTTTATTCTATGAGATTGACGATTTATATAATTTTAGTAAATTTTAATTGTTATTGTGATTATTACTTTTTTTAACTTTTCTAAGCTTTGTCCATAAAATCCCACAATTTTCAGTGACAATAAAGCATATTTCTATTCTATTCTATTCCAACTTAAAAACTTATGGCGGTGAATATCAGATTAACGGTAATACTTTTAATATATAAATCTTATCAAACGTCCTAGTTGATTGTTGATTACAATTTTGGACTATTATAATTATATGTATCACAGATTACACAGAAAACGTTTTTATCTAACGAAATACATTTATGTTAATCTTCTAAAAAAAACAAGTAGCAATATTTTGCATGAAAATACCTTTTAAACTTAAAAAGGTTGACCTTGGTTAAAATGCTAAGTAATCGATGATGATCGATCAAGTAAAAATACTACTTCTTCTGATAGTACTTTTCCCTAAACTCGAATTGATGTTCTTTATGTTTATGATGAACGTGACTCATTAAATTATATCTCTGTTTAACCTGATGATCACAGTAAGGGCACTTGTACAGTTTCTTTGAACCACATTCGTACTTTGTATGGCGTAGTAATGTTGATCTGTTTTGTTGAGTAAGTTAGTAGGCAGACGTTGCAACGATACCTATGGTCACCTAAAAACAAGTTTATACCGTATAATACAAAACAAAGCACATGTAACTATTCTATAAATTCGGTTAACTTTGAGCAATTCACTATTAGAAGTATATTAAAAGCTTAGATTTTAAGTGAAGAGACAACTTCTTAATTAGTCAACTACTTCTTACTACTTTTAGAGCTATCGTGATCTAACGAATTGTATATTCTTTAAGAGTTAGTAACCACGATTTTCATTGAAATTTGATTATAATTTGTAAAGTACCCTGTATAACACCAGAAAACTATATGTATTCTTATAACGTGGAATTGAAGCGGATTTTAAGTGTTAGTGTTATGGAAGACCCTGTATATTTGTAACTAGTTTTCAAATGTCGGTAACTTTTCCTCTATAGTTGCTGAGGCGAGCGTTAGGGAAGTAGCGCCACGAAATATTGATCTTCACATCGATTCACTGCTCTCCATTAATTCGTTTCTATCATCGTCATATATTTATTCTAAGCACGTTTAAAATAAAAACTGCATAAAAATAACTAAAGCAATAGAGATTAAATAAAAAGTAAAAAAGTAAAAGATAATGTGTCAATAAAGGATGTAATAAAACAAACAGAAAAATAAAATATCGATACTAGAATTCAATTCGTAACGATTCTCGAACGGCAAACTTTAAAAGTCATCATAAATGCCATACAAAAATATTGAATCATCTGTTAAGATTTTTATTCTAGACACTTTTCGTTTTAAAATAATTTCATATAAACACAATGAAGAATTTTAAAATTGTCATATTATAAATATTCATATTTATACTTTGGAGAAGATTGCTAAATCATCACATATTAAATAGGGCTTTCTTCGAAACAAAAGACACGGTCAACAGTTGAAAGAGTCCATTTACGTGACAAGGCGAGTCCGTGACAAAATGTAAACTATTGAAACAAGTTTTATTAAAATTTATAACAACAACCATAAAAATAATAAATAAATAACAAAATTACTTTATTCAATTTTAAAAATATTATTTAAATTTTAAAAATACAGGAAACAGTATGAAGCTTCGCGTTCGTCTAATGTACCACTTTTTTGTGGCATCTCCTATAAAAACCGATATAACGGACTTTTCCACAAAAGTTGATTATCCTGTATACTAATATTTAAGCATCCACTGGCATACTGCATATAAAATATTCATGGGGAAATAAGGAGACAGAATGAAGAATTTTAAGAATAAAAGACAAATCAAGAAGAAAAAATATTATAATCATTCGGAAAATCTTGTTATAACAATTTATGTAACCTTAAAGAGTATATTTCGGCAAAAAATCAGGATTTTCAAGATTTAAAATCTAGATAGTCTAGAGAGTCTACCCAATTACTTATAACAGTTTTCAAAAGTGTCAAATTAAAAAAAAAACTGCCCTTCGAAAGATTTTGGGATTGTGAAAAATAAAGAAATTTATTTATAGTATTATTAATAGTATTCAACATGGGCTCCGAATATTTTAACATTAACAAAGTTTAATATGAGTTATAATTTGTGAATCTCAGTGATGTATTGAAATAAACATATTATTCAGTTAAATTAGCATTAAAATCAGCAAATTGCAATTATTTGTTATTGCTGTCAACAAACAAATCCAGTTTTACCAGCAAAATAACCGCTTTTAATAAAGACCGATATACCTGTTTTAGCAGGTGTACAGGGTCGGACTTACTTTTCACTTAACGTTTATGAAAATGAACTTAAACATGGAATCACACAACAGTTCTACAATACAAGACCATCAAAGTCAAATAAACGCATTACATTCATACTGTTTGGCAGCGTCGAGAGTGCAATTTCCTTTAAAGTCCCAAGCAATTATCTTTAGTGCCTTAGAAAACACCAAACTTCAAGAATACCTTCGCCCACTTGGAAATATAATTCAACAGAAAAATATAATATCTTCTAGATTATCTAATAATCGCATATGTATGTATTTATCCAATAAACAAAATCATGGTCAAATAGAAAAACAAGGTGAAATTGTCAAAGCAAGAAGGTTAGTTACACCAGCGGAACTACTTGTGCTCTGCAGCGTATGTCCTTCAATACCGCATGACTTGCTAATCAATGAGTTACAAAAAATCGGCATAGTTCCTGTCTTCACCAAGACATTTTCAAAATTAGTGGTTCTATGCCTGAGTACAATCACATCCTTAGTTTTCGAAGACAAATCGATATCAGTTCTCACAGTCTAACACTACCAAAATTATTTACTCTTGATTTTGACAAAACGATATACAGAATATTCATTTGTCAAGACAGTTTAGTTTGCTTTAGATGCAAGAAGCCAGGTCACATTGCATCACAGTGCTCCAAACCACTAACTCAATTAAATCCCAACCAAAATAATGAAGCATCGGTATCCAGCGCAACAAATATATCCTTGCAAGCACCCAATGACATAAACCCTTCTCAGTGTGAACAAATGTCTATTTCTAATATCCCTGAACAAAGTGTGAACAGTGGAACAATGTCATTTCTAATATCCCTGAATATCCACCGAACAAAGTAGATACATCAAATAAGGACAGTCACATAATTAATCAACCAAAACGTAACTTTGATGAAATTATTTCACCTGAAGCAGATCCATCTTCAAAAGAATGTAACATTTTTCCACCACGTAAAGTCTAAGCAAAATCTAAAAAAGCTAAAATTAGTTCAGCAAGCACTTTGAATGCTCATTTTCTGTCTTATTGACCCTGCTAAAAACTTCATAGAAAATCACTCTCTATCCGTTCC